ATCCAGTTGTGCCCTCACGTCACAGGTGCGTTCATCCGTGCGTGTTCGTCCTTTCTTTGCCGATTGCTTGAAGGTCATGCGGCCATTAAGTAAAGTCGCGTAAAGCGATAATATAACAATACAAATATACTTTTTTTTAATTATTTGTTTGAACGTATTTGTTGTTGTACCTTTATGCGAATGTTGATATATTTATCATTATATAAAACAAACAAAAAGCTAAAACTAAAACATTTGACTTGATTCTTCTATTTATTTATGGGAAGTTTATACTATTTTTTTTTCTAAATAAAAATATAACTGCAAATGAAATATGTTTATATAATATGATTGATATACATGCTTATATGCCATAATTATTTATTACAATGTTAATGAACTAAAAAGGACGACGCTTCTCTAATAAATAGAATTTTTCATAAAGCGCCTATGAAAATTCAACAGGCAAAAAAACTATGTTAGCATGTGAATTTAGCAATACCGAAACTATATAATATTATTGCTATTTTCACTCTAAAAACCGAGTTACATTATTTTGGCGCCGGGCCTGGGGTCATTTTGGCGGATCTCCTTTCGCAATTAAAAATATTTTATGACACAACATGATTTTTAAAAGTTCTGTAAGTTGATTCACCTACCCAAGTCTGCTCAAGTCCTGACTTTCCTCGTCCTGATTTTTTGTAAAAAACGAGTTATATTTTTATTTATGACATAACATTTTTATATTAACATTTTGTTCATTGGCATTTAAAAACATTCAAAAACATGAGTTGTTTAACTTTGTGGTTGTTAATCGTTGAAATGGAAAAAACCGCTTATATTTTTATCGTTAAAACGTACGTTTAAAAAGCATGCTTGTAAAAGCGCTTTTCACACGCTTTTTAGTTTGACGCTTAAAAAGTCGTTTAGAAAAACGTTTAACATAGACCAACGCTTACGCTTAAAATGAAAAGTGTGCTTATGCGCTTATTTTGAAAAGCAGACTTTTTTAAGTGCTTGTCGTATAAACGCCAACCTCTACTCCCGAAGGGTGAAAAATTTTACTACTTCTTGAGATGTCATTTTGACAGTGACAATAGTTTGTTTGTATTTTTGGACTTTGATTTCTAGGTTATAAAATATTGAACAACTAAGCAAAAAGAAGAACTCAATTCTAAGTTTATAACCGCAGTATATTACGTAAAACGATTTATTTCAAACATTGATAAGTTTTTTTAGGTTTTGAAAATGTAAATGTGTTTCTAATTATGTAAGAGTTATAAATTGTCTTGCATTCTCTTCTGTTTTCGCGTAGAATTTTGTATTTATTTCATTATTTACAAAATGAATACAACTAATAAAGTGAATGTCTACCTGGCTCCTTTGCTGGTAAGTAATAGAAGTGGTTTTTATTCAACAATGTTGTTTCGTATTAATTTCAAATTCGTAGGTTATGAAATAGCTGTATTTATTGTATTAAAATTGGTTATATTCTCTGTAATTTAGAATAGCGTTGTGCTATTTTGGAGACTTAAATGATTTTCTTTATACTTATGTGATGTCTATTAGAATAGAAAACACCATAAAAAACATGCACTGTTGAAATAAATCTACACACCTGTCCATAACAGTTGCAGTGCCCCTCAGAGCTTCTAATCGTAAAGATCTTAGGGGTACTGCCTCTTCGCCCGTCACCTGAGATATAAGTTGACAAGTCCCATGTGCCTGTAATTTCACGAGGACTCTTATCGTTTCAAACTGGAATGCTGTAATCCTCACATTACTGCTTGGCGGCTTAAATAGTTAAGGTGTAGTACGTCTCTGGACGACCTCTTTCACAAGGAGCGCTACTGTATTCTAATTATGATGTTAATGATAAACATCTTCGACGTGGAGCTTTTATCCCTGTTTTCCTTCACCAAAAAGCTCATGGTATATTTCAAATTAAATTTATCACATAAATTCGAAAACTCAGAGGTGCAGGATCAGATTTGGACCCTTGATATCTGCTTGAGAGGTAGTAAGGTCAATTAGGCTACCATGACTTATTAACTATTTATCAAGAAGTAACAATAGCCAACTTAAATTTATTTATTTATTATTCAAGGCTCATGAGCATACTGAACAAAAAAACTTTGGTAGTGCGCTTGGAAGATTTTCAATTTTCAAACTCAAACCGTCTTTATTTCATACTTAAACAAGTTATACTTTAAATCGCACATTGATTAAACTCTACTACTCATTCGTAAGGCAGATAGCCCTGAGAAGAATGAGTAGGAAAAAGGGTTGCTCTTTGTAAATAAACATTTGTATACCATCTACATATTTGTCATTTATGATATTTACTTTTTTGAGACTACAGCAAATTGTAGTGTATGACATTCTTCTTCTTCTTCCCAGTTGAGGGTGAGGACAGATTGAACATAATGATAATTATATATTATTGTTCAATTTTCAGGCTGGAGCGGCAGCAGGGCTGTCAGTAGACATGGCTCTCTATCCTCTGGACACATTGAAGACAAGAATACAGAGCGAGCAAGGGTTTTATAAGACTGGTGGATTTAAGGACATTTATAGAGGTAACTATAATTGGTTCTTAAAATTAACCTACTGATTCCCACTCCAATTTCTTTATAATGGCTACATCGATTTACACGAAGCTGCAATCCTGCCAATGTAATGATTGAAAAAGACCCTTTTACATTGGTGTGACTATGAATGGTTGGATAGCCGGAGATCCATTGAGTACGATGAGAATCTAAAAGGGGACTACACAACAACGCAAATTCGATATTAACCTACATATTACCAATTCCTATAACTTAAATGAGGATTTCAAGATCGCCATTGAGATTTGCCCCAGATAAAAAACAAGTGTGAAAATGTTGTAATACCTGTATATAATAAATAATATATAGAGAGAGAATTGTATGTATGTACATGTTCAAAAGTTAAGTCTAAGGGTCGTATTCTAGAACTCTACTCAATGCTCAAGTCAGAATTTGAGTACGGCTTAAAGCACTCGAAATCATACTCAACTCCCTGCCATTAGAGTCGTATTTCCAGTGCTTGTGTATCCAGCGCAGTCCTGACAGTGCCCCAGATAAAAAACAAGTGTGAAAATGTTGTAATACCTGTATATAATAAATAATATATAGAGAGAGAATTGTATGTACGTACATGTTCAAAAGTTAAGTCTAAGGGTCGTATTCTAGAACTCTACTCAATGCTCAAGTCAGAATTTGAGTACGGCTTAAAGCACTCGAAATCATACTCAACTCCCTGCCATTAGAGTCGTATTTCCAGTGCTTGTGTATCCAGCGCAGTCCTGACTTGAGCATTGAATAGAGTTCTAGAATACGACTCTGAGTCTCCCTGTGGATTATTCTATCGTGTTGCCTAGTGATAGGCATGACTCACGTATGAGTACAGAGTTTTAGACCTCTTTGCCAACAGGTCACCTAGCACAACATGTAACTCCCCAACCTCCCAAATATCCCCTAATTGAAATTGGCTTTTCATAACCACATAACGGCCGACATTCCATCAAATGTAGTTCAAGTTTGTTACAAAATTTACATAGTGGAGATAAAACTTATTTAAGGGAAGGTGGCCAGGACAAAGCCTAAAACCTAAGACCAATGCATTTCTAGAAAGTGTGCTGTTCTCAAACCAGGACTTATCCACCTCTTTGGTACCAATCCTTTTAAGTCTCTCATTCACTTCTTTTGATTGATGTAGTTTCTTCTTCTTTTAAATTTTATGGCCCCATCGAAATAATCGATGATTTCGCCAATGTCAAGGAAAAATGTCCATATCGAGGTGACACGCCTACAAACAGCGCCACAGTGACATGGCGATCGTCGTACATACAAGATCTCTCGTAAAACGTGAAAATGCCAAGTTGTAGCGATACACCTTGTAAAAATTGGAGTGAAAATAAAAATTTTAAAACCAGTGAGATAACATTCCACCAGCTATTTGCATTTTTAGTTACTATTTCTATTATTATTCAATATTTTCGTTACGTCTCCATAGAAATTTCTACACTCAAATATAGTGATGTTCATTTACGAAGACTGATGTTTATCGACAATAAATATTTACTGAAACGTTTGAATTTCTTACTATGATTTTTGTAATTAAAGTCCCTAAAATATCGAAGCGAAAAGCATTCACGTTAAATTGATTTCTTTTATTTTATTATTATTATTGTTATTACTAAACATTTTATTTCGAGTAACTTTAACACAACTCATATTTCGGACAACCGTTTCAATTTCATGTCAATTTGGATGTTGCTGTTGCTTCAAGAAAAATTTATATGTTTTAGATATTTAAGATATTTAAATTCCATTATACTTGTAGATTAACCATAGAGTTTTTTAATTTTTAAGTTTTTTCAATGAGTTCAAAATAAAAGAAGGTTGGATTGAAGCTGCAGGAAAATCGAAAGATTGGTTTTCTTATTACTATTTCTGACTTTGTTTCAATTTCCATAGCAAATACATTTAAAAAGTAAATCAAATAAAATCCGCTTCGTTTTACTTGTGCATGCAAAATAAATTAGAAACAATTATAGAAAATTACATAAATCTTTCATAAAAAAACAACATAATTTAATTTATTAAATTCGTTGATGGTTCGAGTTTACTCTTGACAGTGACAGCTTCGCCAACCCGTGGTAACGTATAATGGAAAATTGGCACTGGCAACTGTCGCCATATTTTTTATATTATTCTTATAAAACTGACACTGAAAATGTAAAATAAATGTTTATTTAATCCGTAATCCATTAAGTAACGAGACCTTTATCCTGCCAATCATGTGTAAAACCACATTCCAGGTCTGTCAGCCGTGGCGACCACATCAGTGCCCACATCAGCTCTGTTCTTCGTGTGCTACGAGACCACAAAATCAATGTTACTACCACACGTAGCAACGCAGTATGCTCCGTTCGTGCATATGTTAGCTGCTAGCGTCGGAGAAGTGGTTAGTTAGATACACAGGTTAGAAACCCCTTACCGGTTGATTGGTGATCAGATCAGATGATCAGATTTTCCGGTAATTCTATAAAACTTTCTTTTTTTTATGACACCAAATGACGGGGCGAACAAATTATGCGCCTGGTAGTAAACGACACGCCTATCTATAGCAGTTGCAGTGCCACACAGAACTTTATATTGTGACGATTTAAAGGACTGTCTCTGGGCCCGTCACCCTGATAAGTAGAGCTCCTTGTGAAAGAGTTCGTCCAGGGAAGTCACCTAACCTGTTTCTGTCGCCAAGCAGTAATGTCAGCATTACTGTGTTCCGATTTTGTCTCGGGGTGACGGGCGCAGTGGTAGTGCCCCTCACATCTTTGCAATTTAAAGCTCTGAGTGACACTGCAACTATTATGAACAGGCATGTAGCTTACCGTGTAATCCCGTCACTTGGTGTTATAAAAAAAAAACACATTACCCTTTAACACCGGAACGCAGTAATGCTAATATTACTGTTTAAAAGTACGATGGTTGAATTCCCTGGACAAAACTTTTTCGCAAGTTCTACTGATACAAAATGATACGACCGTTTATCGTCTATCCACTTATTATTTTTGTGAAATTGTTACTACAGAATGACAGTTTAATTTTTTATTTATTTTCTGATTTTACAGCTTTTAAAATCAAATTTATTATTTAAACAATTCATTTAAAGTTACATTATATTTCTAATAAATTAAGCCAAAGTGAAGTTACGGATAACAATGATTAATACAATGAAATCTCTTTCAAGCAAAAAAAAGAAAGTACAGACGAATTGAGAAACTGTTAATTTGTGTTAGTAATTACAAATAAACTAGAGGAGAAATATCACAAAAAATAAATAAATGTCATGATTGTAAAACATAATAACGTCTGCTTAAAGGTAAAACCACATAAGTGACATTCCGGAAATCCACAAAAAATCTCCAAATTATGTATTTGTTAGAAAATCACCATCTTTCTGCAGATAAAGCCACTTATTGAGTTTATAGCTTTTTTGTTATTGAGTTACACCTGCGGAAAGATAGTGATTTTCTTACCATAGCGATATAAAGTCTTTTCGTAGAAAATGTCACTTATGTGGTTTTACCTTTAAACAGACGATAACATTCATTACAATTGATATTGCAATTCATAAAGCGACATCTCTTGTTAACCTCTTGAATGAAGAAAAACTTTCATAGATTTCTCACAGATGGCGCTACGACAAAATAATATCCGTTAAAACTCAAAACAAAGACTCGTTCTGTAGTCCAGTTGGTATTTCGGTCGCCTTGCTATGTCACAGACTTATGTTCGAATCCTGTCAGATCGAAATAATTTTCTATGTGTTCGATATTTGTATTAATAATATTAAAGTTAATATTTAACGTTTCACTTTTGCAGTGTGCCTGCGTGATCCGTGTCCCAACAGAAATAGCCAAACAACGCAAGCAGACTTATGTTGGAAAGAACGTCAAATCCAATTTCAGTATTTTACTTGAAGTATGTATAACTTTTCACGCGTCACATAGCCACAAGGTGTTTCTAAAGCGCAGTTATGTTTTCATCCACCATTATAAAAAAGTATGAAAAAACTTACCAATTGAAAAAATATAAAAAAAAATTAAAAAAAAAATCTTTAGGGATATCGTGTGTGTGTTGTGCGAACGCGTGACGAAACAAAGACATTGATTTTTGTTTTTCTGTACTATAATAAGAATATAATAATTGCCAACTGCAAAATTCCAAAAAAGAAAACACCAATTGCCTGGTCTCAAACTAGAGAGGTGGTGCGAAAAGAAGATGTGTAATACCGATAAGTAGTGGACTGTATTTTTTGCGATTTTTAATTACATTAAAAGGTGCTTGTACTACGAGCAAACTGCATTTGCAAGTAGCTTCCTATAAGGACTGGAACAAGTATATAGTAGTAGACCGAGCTGCAGCAATTCTGCCTGGATACGGCCGCCACAGGAAGAAAAATCCTCAGGTTCACTACTGAGCACAGTCCGTTGTATTGCGAACAAAATAAACTATTAAAAAAACAATCGCTCTAGTTAGCCATTTTTTGATGCACACAGTTCAGTGATCGTTCAATGTGGCCGGTGAAAGAGACGAGTGCTAAATCTACCCTATACTATTTTTGATAAATGTCCAATACAAAAAAATAAAATATAAAATCCAACATGGGGAAGTTAAAAATTGTAGCTATTACTACAACCAAAGCATCGGAATTCACTCTCGAGCACTACCCAGGACGCCCATACCAAAAGCAATTGTATTGTATTGTAATTCAGAAAAGCATTGACTTACAAGTAAATGGACGACGGATCTAATACAAAAACCACGAGAAAAATGTCCCAAGTCAACCTATTTAAACGTAGTGACATGTAAAGGAATATGAAAAAGGTAAAACGTTGAATTTAAATTGTAATGTCATTGCAGTACTGTCTAATTTTGCTTGCTTCGCTGTCAGTCGAACAAACGAAGACTAAAGCGTGAATGACGCTCTGTATACGATTTTAACGCCCTATAAGTTCGGACACTTTTTAGCGCGGACCCGACGTCCATATAATTGTAAGTCAATGCAGAAAAGTTTTATTTTAAAGAATGGACGTCGCATAATTTTTTTCCGCGCACGATTGACAGTTCTATTTTTCGAAAGTCCCGTTTATTTTCATTAGGTTTACGGACCAGCTCACGCAAGATGGATAATATTATGGGAAAAGTTCAAATAGATCTTCTTGACGACATTTCTCTTAGTTTATTTTTTTATTTATTACATATTGCTTACAGCCAACCCAAACGTTATAGTAAGACTTAAAGTTAAATGAACAAACAGTAATAAGTAAATTACAAAAATGAATAAAATATGAAAATAGATATATAAAGAATAAATTATTACAGATTAACATTAATGTAAAAATAGATAAAATTAATTTGTTACTACATTTCAAAGTAACACATAATACCTATTACTTAATACTGCTATCTCCAGATAGCGTCCTGCGGAAAACATGAATTTTGATTCTGAGCATGCAAAAAGGTCCAACGAGGAGTCAAAGTTAAGCAACTGATTTAGATACTTAAGTGCTCGGGGCGAAGTGGCCATCTCACTCACTCTACATCGTGTGATAGGTACTGCAAATAACCTTATTCTATGAAGTCGCACCAGATTAGTTCTAGGTACCAAAAAGCCTACTTTGGACAACAAAAATGGATTGTGAGCTTCGACAGCAATTGGGGGGGGGTAATTGATGATGTCCAAGGGGTGCTACCGCATTTGAAAAAAAAAAAACTTAATTTTCTTCTGTATAACTAACTGTATTACATATGGTTAATTTTTGTTATTAAGTTGATATAAAATATACGTGTTTTCAATTATTTTTTTGTGATGGTGGGTGTTGAAATATTTTTTGTCTTGCCTAACTGGGCAGTGAGCCAAAAAATTTGGGAACCTATGTTCTAGAGCAACGGAATTCACTCCGTGGCACTATCCAGAACACCTAGATCAAAACCAAATAGTTCACCCCCCTAATTGGTCCTACCGGCAATAAAACCTGAGTCTTAGAGCAAAGACATTCTTTCCAGGGCACTACCCACAACACCTAGACCAAAAGCAACTCAGAAAAGTTTATTTCCCACATTGGTCCTACCTGGAGTGGAATCCGAGACCTGGACCAATGGAATTTACTCTAGGGCACTACCAAGAACCAATTTAGAAATCGAATCCGGAACCTAGAGCAACGGAATTCACTCCGGACCACTATCTAGAACACCCAGACCAGAAGCAATTCAGAAAGTTAATTTCTCCAAATAGGTTCTATCTGAAAACCGAACCCGGGGATTAGAACAACAGAATTCACTCCGATCATCAAGTACCAGAAATAGAGACGAAATGTCATTTAATTTGTTTGAAAACTATTCTGCCGTATCATTATTCGGCCAGCGCGAATTCGAAACAATTGACGGGTGTCGTCAATTGTTTCACTTCAATGACCAGTTTAACATGAGCTTTGCTGTAATGGACGAAAATTGAAAAATTACATATTTAATTACCGATGAAATGTGATTCCGTTTGTTTTGTAATTAGATGTTTTGCTGTTTTTCCCACACCACCGAATGGAACAGCCCCCCATGCTAGGGATATTATCTTTATTACAATAAATAAAGAATATTTTTGGAATTATCGGAGACGTATATACAGGTCAGTTGTAGGCGCTGTCCTATTTCAGCTTTCTAATTTGTGATTTCAGCGCAAACGATAGTTGATATTTAAAAGTTATATAAGGCCCATTTGCCTCATGAGTTGCCAGGGATGGATGGCCCTTATGTCATCTCTATTTCTGGTTATATTCTTGATGACTCCGGTGGACTACCCAAAACAGTTAGGCCAATTTGGCTAAGTTAATTCCCTAACTTGGCTTTCTCTGACCACTGTTGGGCCGCCGAGGTCTTCAAATTAACTAAATATAATAGGCTTTTTGCATTAGTCAATCAGAAAGATGAAGTATATTCTTTTCCAGGCATACAAAACCGAAGGATTCCGTCGCGGCGTCTACAGAGGCTTCTTATCAACAGTTTTACGAGATCTGCCATTCAGCTTCATCGAGCTCCCAGTTTGGGAGATGCTCAAGACCTTTGTCAGGCAGAACAATGAGGGACAGGTCACTAGCTTGCAGGTGAGAAGGAAAAAGAGGAAGTGGTTACGCCCAAAATGGTACAAAATTTAGACACTTTAATTTTTGAATCGTATTAGCAATGGTTGATTGTGATTCAATATTTAAAAAATATTTACTTCATTATTTCAACCCTTTTCCCCAACCTTATTCGCACGTAAGACAGACAACGTCACCCAACTGGTGACAAAATACTCGCTTCCGCGCAGTTGAAATATCGCCGGCGAATGCAACAATGGCCGCGCGCGCAACCGCGAACTGAAAACTATAGTGGACAATAGTGAACGTACGTTTTGGTGAACTTGTAACATCAAGAATCAGAACAGAAACTACAAAATTGTTATAATTATTAATACAAAGATCGAACACTCAGAAAAAATTCCTTCGATCCGGTCGGATTCGAACCGACGTCTTCTTGCATACCGTGCCAGACGCTATTCCAACTAAGCCACGGAACGAACCAACGGACCTCACGAATTTTTCTATGTGCTTGCGTCGTGTCTTTGTACTTGGTCTTTCAATTACTTTTTAGTCGTTTAGCGCCATCTATGAGAAATCTATAACAGATTTATAACCCAGTTAGTACCTTTACAGCTACCAGTCCTGGCGAGAGATGTCGCTATTCACTGTATTAATTAAATGTTTTATTGAATTGATATTCAATTAGTTTTTGTGAAACTACTCCACTAGTTTGTTATAATTATTAATACAAAGATCGAACACTCAGAAAAAATTCCTTCGATCCGGTCGGATACAAAATTGTTATCACAACAAAAAAAATGGTTCCTAAGACAGTTTCCCTGTATCTCCTATAGTTTCGGATTTCCCCATACTGTATCAGTTAAAAAAACACACGGCATGTTTTGACTTACTATCTAGCCACCATGCACGAACTCAGTTTAAGCCGGGCTTTTTCTTTCCTTGATGTGTTTCTAACATTAAAATTATATTCCAGAGTGCAATATGCGGTTCAATTGCCGGAGGGTTCGCGGCCGGTGTGACGACGCCTTTGGACCTCGCCAAGACGCGTATCATGCTGGCCAACGGGTACACCGCTGACCGCAAGTTGCGCATCAGGCCTGTACTGAGTAGTATATATTTGGAGTCCGGAGTGAGAGGCCTGTTTGCAGGTTTGTGCCTATTATCGCCACCTCTTTCCAGTATAGATAATTGAATTTTTAAGTTTATTGAAGCTTGCTCGCGATGCTTCGAATCCAGCCGAATCAAAGGAATTTTTCGTAGTGTTCGATCTGTGACCGTCAGGATGGCTGGTCACCATTCCATAAAGATTTCCCCCCCCCCCCCCGTCAAAAAAAAAAAGCCACCATTTCTATAATTACTACCTTTGATATATTCTGAGAAATTAAAAAAAATAATGGGCCAGCCATTCTGACGTCAGGATGGCTGGTGGCCACATTGTTCAGCCTGAAGGGAGCAGATTTTCCAGAAGTATGTATTACCAATAATTGCTACCTATTTCCTACTTTCACGAATTAAAGGTATACGCTTCCTATCTACATTAGTTGAAAAAATATAAACGATTGAAAATTTTACGAAGAAGTGCCAACGCCTGCCCTTTGTATTATGGCAATAAAGCACTAAAAACTTTTGCTTTTTTTATTTAATTTATAAAGTTATTATTTTTATATATTTATAAAATACAGATTAAATATACAAAGGTGTTCTAAAGTTGTAAAGGTGGTAAGTTTTGGTCCAAATTGTGTACCGAGGTACAACTTAGGCATAAAAGATTGTATAGGAAAAGATCCATTCATTATTATTTTTTAATTTTAACTACGTTACTATGCTCGTGTGCAGCCCTGAGGTCCCGGGTTCGAATCCCGGACCAGGAGAAATATTTGTGTCACCTACATTTATTTCTCTCGTGAGTTTGGTTGTAATTTGTGGTTGTCTATTTGTGTGTCCATGGCACCCGTCACACAGGGTTTCCATAGGGCTATGAGTGTCTGTTATTATTATTTACAATTTGAGTAATGAATGGTGCGCTTCAAGAAGCTATCTTTTACAGGGATAATGCCTCGAGTAACAAGTTTCATGATCGGCGGCTTTGTCTTCTTCGGCGTCTACGACGACATTAAGAGCTTAATAGAATCTAAGTTATAACATACATGGAACTTAGATGTAACGTGAAGACTAAGTAAAAAGTTTAGCCCTATTGTCTCTTAGTTGATAAAAACCATGGACCGATACACTCCAGAGGAATGCTAATCATGGTACAAGACAACGTAGACGGGTATTTAGTACCTTTTGGTACACCAGATGTCGCGACGAATTACAAACAGCTCTTTAATCTAAAGAATCTATCTCTTTTCTTGGACATTCCACACTAATTAGACCAATATGCTGAAATACATTTACAAACAGGTCACGGATTCGATCCCGGTTGGACCATAAAAGTTATTTTGTTTTTTTTACGATTAATCTGGATATTTTAAAATAAGTTTATGTAATGTTGGAATTCTGTTATTGTTGTGATTTATCAAGAATAAAAAGGTGTTTTTTAAATTGGTTTTTAACTGCTATATATTTCACTTTCACCATTGTATCTTAAGTTCACATAAATTTTTTTTATGATATCAAGTGACGGAATGAGTAAGTCGTACGCCTGATGATAAGAGACACGCCTGCCTATAGCAGTTGTAGTGCCACTTAGTGCTTCAATTTCAATTACATACATACAACCAGACTCACGAACACAAACACACATAGACACACATACACACACATAGACACACAGACGCACGCACGGACTAACGCACGCTCGCACACACACATAGACACACACACACGCACACAGCACGCACGCACACACACACGCACGCACGCACGCACACACGCACGCACGCACGCACGCACGCACGCACACACACACACACAGACACACAGACACAGACACACAGACACACAGACATACAGCCACACAGCCACACAGACACACAGCCACACAGACACACAGACACACAGACACACAGACACACAGACACACAGACACACACACACACACACACACACACACACACACACACACACACACA